AGAAATTCTCCCTATGAGGGTGGTGAGGCCCTGGTACAGGTTGTCCAGAGAAGCTGTGGCTGCCCCATCCCTGGAAGTGTTCAAGGCCAGGTTGGACGGGGCTTGGAGCAACCTGGGCTAGTGGAAGGTGTCCCTGCCCATGGCAGGGGGTGGGATGAGATGAGCTTTAAGATCCCTTTCAACTCAAACCGTTCTGTGATTCCATGATTCTGTGATCCTGTGGTATTGGCAGGAATGTGTGTGGGATTGAAGTGGTAACAAAGAGGACAGTCAGAGCATGCTGGTGAGCCAGAGCTTGGTGCTTCACACTCCTCCCTGGGCACACGGGTGCTGTCAGCCTGGCCCTGGGCAGTGGCAGCTGCTCCAGCCGGCTGTGGGTGGCTGGAGCATCCTGGGCACAGAAAGGCGCAGCAAGAGCAGGCTGGGACCCGCTGAGTTTTGGGTGGATCACCTTCCTCCCCCTGTGAGAGGAGCTGGGTGTGCCCAGACCTCTCCCTCTGATGGAAGAAGCCATGCTGGGGTCACGGTGTCCCCAGAGCCTTGGCACCATTGTCCTGCTGCTGCTGCAGCCGCACTGTGCTGCTGCCTCCCCTCTCCTGCTCTCCACGGCTTTCCCACCTGCTTGAGCAGCAGGGATTGTTTTTTAATTAATTTTTTGTTCCTGTGAATGCTGTTGCAGGCTGGGGACCTGCAGCTGTTGGCTCATTAATGGAGTTGTGCAGAAGCGCGACCGGAAGCGGCGCTGGGCCCTGGCTGAGCTCCGTGGTTTGACGCTTTTCCTTCCTGCCCTTCTCAGAGACACAAATCCGTGCAAGCCCTTTGCTGCACTGAGACAGCCCCACCTTGGCCCCTGCTCCTCTTCTACTTTGGGATGGCTCTTCTCAGTTTGAGGGGTGGGCTGAGGTCCCCCAGGTCCTCCCCATGTCTCTGTTCCTATGGCCACAGCCGTTAGAGAACTGGGGATAACGAGATCAGGAGTTTCAATGATTAGTGTTTGATAAGGTTCACTGATATTTTATCTGTGGTCTTCATGGAGAAGAGGAAACGTGGTGTGTTAAGAACATCTGTCTTGGCAGGGCCAGGTCCCCCCAAGTGCCTGGTGCTGGCTTGGGATGGGACCTGAATCCTCAGAGATCCCACTCTCCTTGCTGCCAGTGCCTGTGGAAAACTTGGGCTGTCCTTGGGCTGCTCTTCACCTGTGCTGGCAGAACCAGTCACCTGCCTGGCTGCTTCACGTGGGAGTTACCTGCTCTCGGGTGGTTCGTGCCGCTCCTTGAGCAGGAGCTGTGCCGTGAAGGGCTTCTGGCAGCACGGAGAGATGTGCCCCGGCGTTGTGTAAGGCTGTGTTCCATGGATTACTGAGGGCTTGTGTTTCTTGGCCAGGTTCCTGAGCCCATCAGGGCACTGAATGGCTTTGTCAGTGCTTTCCCTGTTTTCCAGCACTGCTCCCCTTCATCTCCAGCTCTGCTGGGATCCGGGGTGGGGACGGGCACAGAGGCGCTTTGCAGCAGCAGTGGGAGGAGATGCCGTGTCCCACGGCCTTCTCTGGGAATGCTCTGGAGACCCAGGGAGAGCAAAGATCAGCTCCTCTGGGCCCAGAGGCCCCTCGTGACGCTCCGCAGTCCTGGGGCAGGTGGGAATGACACGCTGGGTGAGCAGCCGGCGGGAAGAGCAGCGAGTCCTTGTGCGCGGCCGTCACGGGCCAGCGTCACCCGTCACGGGCTGGGCAGGGCAGGGTTGGTTCCCGGCCCTGTGCCCGTGGCTGTGGCTCACTCAGGTGGGCACTGGGTGAGCAGAGTGTCCGGGCACTGGGACTGGGGGGCTTGGGGCACAAGTGTGGGCTGCCTCGGATGGGGCAGGTCAGCGAGCGGCCCTGGGGGCTGGGGGGCAGGAGCTGCTCATCCCCGAAGGTGCTGAGGTTGCTGAGCTGTGCTGGGCCTGGGGTCCCTTCCAAAAACACGCTTGTGAGTCGAACATTAGTGGCTCATAAAAATAGACATGGCAGAGTTCTAGAAGGGTGTGAGCTGATTGATTGACCACAAACACGTCAGTCTGCAGCGCTGAGGGAGAGCTTTGCTGAGGCAAAGGCTTCCTCAGAAACACCAGTGGGGCAACCACTGCACACTGGTGTGACTGGGAAGGAACTCTTACTTGGAAAGAGAGTGTTGTTCTGAAGGACACAACACTGGCTGCTTGGGACACTTACACATGTAAAACACTGCTGTGCCAAGTGTTAGACTGAGACAGCCCTGGGTGTCTCTGGGGTGGGCAGCCCCTCTGAGGTGCAGGACCTGCCAAGGTCCCTCACTCTGTGGCACATGGACAGACAGGCTTCAAGCCCTGTGGAGGCTCCTCCTGGCTGGTTTTCCATTAGCCAAAGAGCTCTGGGACATCACTCCTTCCTCCTGAAGCTGTGGGAAGAGAGGGGCTTCCCTGTGTGCACGGAGGGTTGGTTGGAGAGGTTCCTCCCTGTGTGATCCCAGTGGGTATTCCAGAATGACTGTCGTTAGGGCAAGGTGTTCCTTGTACCACCCCTGGAAAGCACTGGATGTGGGCTGGAGCCTTTGCCAGCCCTGCCATCAGGAGGGGATCTGTCTCCCCCGAGCAGCTGCTCCGTCCTTACCATGGCTGTGAGCTCCAGCAAAGCTGTTGTGCTGTCAGGGCTGGGCAAGAAAACCCCAAGCGGGTCTTGCTGTGACAAATCTTTTCCTTACAGAGGGGGTTTCACATGGAAGGGAAGCTGGAACAAACATGCCCATTCCTGCCAAAGGCACTGCTCTGCCAGTAAGAGGCTTCTGTTTTCTATTGCAAGCAGTTGGTGTGTGGAATTGGGTCTTCCTGCTGCCGCCTGACCCCTGGGCTTCTCCTTGGCCTGACCCCAGGAGCTGTTCCTCTGCTCCTGACCCTGCTGTTGGCAGCCACTGCTCCGGCTCCGATGCCTTCGGCGTCACAACTTCCCATGAGCCGGAATAGCTGTGTGAGGGGGTGGGAGCTCCTGTGCCTGTAAATCCCTCAGAAGGCTGGGAAGTGCTTGGTTAATTAACAAAACTGAGGAAAAATCATTTGAACCATCTCTTTTCCTCACTGTTTACAGCAAATGTCTGGGATTCATGACCTTCAGCCACAGATCAGCCCAGTTCCCTTTGTGCATCCTCAGGTCCTCCCTGGCCCATTTCACCGTGTCCTGTGAGGCTTTGCTTGCCTCAGCTCCTCAGAAATGCTGTGTTTGATGTGAAGGCCTCTGTTTTGACCTGTGTCCTGGCGCAGGGTGGGCTTGGCTGTGGGAAGGGGCACAGGGACAGCTGGCAGAGCTGGCTGTGTTGAATTCACTGGTGGGAGACAGACAGATGGGACCATATAAACTGCCTCTGCCATCCCCATGGTTGGTCTTCCACTGGGATTCAGCATCTTGACTGTCAGGCCAGTGTATGAGTCTCTAACATTGCTTGAGGCCAGCTTTTGTATCCTGTTTTGTAATATTCCCTGACATTCCCCACATTCCTGGCAAGGAGACTTCTGTATTTTTTTGAAATGTTCCTTTGTCTCTTTGCAAAACTATGACATCCTTAAAGACTTCTCCAAAAGGCCGTTGTCCTGCTGTCCCAGCATCTCCTGTTGGCTTATAAAGAACGGGGAGCCTTGAACTTCGAATCCAGCCTCAACAGTGTCTCCTTCCAGTGGGGAGAAAGGGAAAAAAGAGCGAGGCAGGTTGTGGGCTCCTGTTTGGCTCAGTGACCTTCCTAACCTGAGGTCTGTGCTGTTTCTTCCACCCTTGTCCTCAGGTTTCACTGCCCTCCAAGTTTTGTGATGACACTGGGGCTGTTTGAGCTTCCATTGCTTGTTGGGACAGCGTGGTCTGGAGGGGCCTGGGTCTGGAGAAGGCAGAAGGCATCACAGTGGCCCTCTGGTCCATGTCCTGCCTCTTGCTGCTCTCTTCTGTCTGACCTGCCAGGTGTAAGGAAGCTGGGGGGGCGGGCGGGATGTTTTCCAATGCCGTATCCCTGGATAGGGATGAGAGACCTATCATGTTCCTCACTGGGAATCAGAAGCAAGGCGAGATGATGCTCAGCTGAGGGGATCTCACAGCTCATTCCGGGAATGATTTATGCCACAGCACCAGCTTGGGAAGTGCAGTGGCAGGAAATGTGCTTTTCATTGTGGAGACTAATCCCGTGTCGACCACAGCTTCTCCCTTGAACTGTGCTGACCCTTCTGCTTTGGGATGCCCGAGAGGTAAGCACTGCTGCACGGGGAAGGAGCATTCTCAGGGCAGGTGGAGCAAACTGGGCTGAGGATAAACTGAGATGTTGTAGGGAATTGGGCAATTAGGTCTGGATATCTTGGATTGCAGGCACCCCTGTTGTTGTCCCTGAACCATCTTTTTGAGCTTTTAGTCCTCTTTGGTACCTTGAGGGACTGGGAAATTTATGATGGATCAGCCTTGGGATTTCCCTTTCCCTAGCCTTCTCATCCCTGGCACAGAGAAAGCTATGTTCCTGGGCAGCACTGGCAGCCGAGAGGAGCCTCAGCTGGAGATCACAGTCAGTGGCTTGAGTAGTCCATGTCTGATGGGGTGGAAAAGGGGGCTTTGGGCTGCCCATCCCTCTCCTCCCTCCTGGAGTATCTCCGGGCAGTGCCACGCTCCCGTCCAGTCCCGCTCCCAGCGCCTGGGGCTGGCACGATGCCGCCCTGCGGGAAGCTTCACTCCCAGTCCCTCATTTTTTCCAGCTGGAATTGAAAGCTGCAGCTCGCCGGGCTGGACCGGCACCCCGTGCGGGGCAGGACCCCCCGGGTGTCCGCGCTGCGGGAGCGCGGGGCTGTCCCGGAGCTGGGAGCGGCTCAGCGCTCCCCGGCGCTCCGGATGGAGGATGGAGCCCTCCCCGCCGCTCCCACCCCCGCCTCGGCGGCTCAGCCCCGCGGCCGGGATGTCCTGTTTGCTCGTGACGAGGAGCGCGGCGGCTGCGGGGCAGCGGGGGCGCATCGCGGGGCTCGGCACCGCGGGGAAAGGTCGCAGCTCTGCCGGGGGTGCCTGGGGGAAGGTCTCGAACCACCGGCGGACAGCGCTGGGTGGCCAAGGAGGGGATGAAGGAGGCCGGGGGTCATGCTGATACTTTTTTTCTGCATTTGATCCACGGTTTCAAATGAACAAAGCCGGGATTAACAGCTCCTGCCATGGTGAGTCTGCTCGTGTCCAGGCTCTGTGTTTGGATTGGGAGGCTCCAGCCAGCAAACGCTCTCAGGGGAGGTGGGAAAGGCTGTAAAATGACCTTTTCTCTTGTCAGAGATTTCTTGGAAGCAGCATTTCCTCTGCAGCAGGGTGGTTCACTCTGGCTTTTGCACAGCGGGGGCGAGGGAAGGGTTCAGAGGTGCCGGTTGTGTTGTTTTTAAATTGAGGGGGTTTTTTTATCTTTTCTTGACAAACGGCTTTTCCTTTACCTTTTTTTCCCCTTGAAGTGCTCTGTAGCTACTGCCCTGAGTGTGCCTGAGAGGGGCTGCAGGGGGGTGTGCAGGGAGCCCTGTGTGTGGCTGTGTGGGAGAGGGATGAGGGGGCAATGGAAGTGACAGAGCTGGGCTGGCCTCAGTCACACCGTTGAGGCTTTTCCTCCCCCTTCTGCTCCCCAGGGAAGGTACAGCCTTGGTAATGTTTGGGTTTATTTCTGACAGAGGCAGCTGAGCTGGTGAGAGCACAGTGAGTGCCATGTGCCAGCTCCTCTTGATCTCTGTTTTTTTTCCTGAGCCCGAGCCAAAATGCCTTTCTGTGAGCCTGACCCCCTCCTCCTGCCAGGCAGTGAGGGTGGTGGGATGGCAGCTGGCATGACCGGGAGCATGATGGTGCTGGTACCAGCTGTGCTGTGGGATTTGGCATCACCTGCTGACACCAGTTCGCTGACTTAAAAGCAGTATTAAAAAGAGGAGAGGAGGGAATAAGAGGGGAACAGCTTTGGAGCTGTGGTGTGGGGAGGAAAATGCCCCCTGGAGTCGGGCGAGTGATGCCTGAGTGGTGCCAGTGGACACTGGGGGGGGGTCCTGATGGGAGAGCCCCATGGGCAGGTGACAGCTCTGCCTTGGCACACACAGACCTGTGTCCACCTGAGAAATGTTCCGTGGCTGCTTTGTGGAACTCAGGGTTTGGTTTTTTTGTTGTTTTATGCCTGCTGTGTGGCTCTGTCTGGAGGAGTGCCCGGAGGTGTCCCTGCACGGGCTCTGTCTCTGCACCTTCTCTGTGCCAGCAGTGGGCTGAGGGGGGCCCTTGTGCTTGGCTGTGCACCCACAACTCCCTGGGGTTAAAACCCTGAATTTTGCCAGTGAGGAGCACTGGCTCCCCCTGGATGGCAGGGACCAGTTGATAAACCAATGCCAAGGCTGGTGGCCAGTGGCCACAGGCAAGATGGAGGTGGCTTTGGAGTCACACTGCAGTGGGGAATGGGGGAGGCAGGGGAAGGAGGCAGGTTATTGCATAGAGCTGGGAAACACTTGATTTGGGGTTGTTTTTGTATTGCAGCCTTTAAAATGGGAAGAAGAGAGCCCCAAAGTAACCCTTCATGCCTCTGCTGGGAATTCAGTGCCCATTTCTTCCTGTGGAGGCAGATTTCTGCTCCAGGGCTGTGGCAGTGCCCACTGGCCAGGTGTGACAGCTGTGGTTTGGGGTCCCTGTCCCTGGGAGCTTGCAGGGCTCCCACAAAAGCCACCAGAGCCTGAAAATTCCTCAGCTGGGTTTGTGATTCTGTACAGCATGGAAAAAGCTGCAGCAAGACCACGAGGGAATGCTGCTCCGTGGGTTCCTCTGGTAACACACACGTGTTTGTGCTAAATAAATGCATAACAGTAGGAGGGAATTCCCTCATGTATTAAGTGAGTAACTGTGTTTTGGTGCCTGGATTTAGCAGTAGGAGCTGAGGGTTGCTCCTCGGGGTGGGATGCAGGAGAGCAGCTGCAGCAGGAGATGCAAATGCACATCTGCTGTGGGTGCTGCGACTGGAACTGAGAGCTCCCTGCAAAGCCAGAGCTACTGCTGGTTCTGTTTTTTTTAGCAGAACTGTTGGTGTTTTCCTTTGCCTTGGTCTTCCTTGGGCTTTGGTGGTGGCTGGTGTTGGGTCTTGTGCCGCCTGTGGTGTGAGGGCTATGCTGAAGCAGCACTGGGACACAGCACTCTGGGTGTTGATCTCAGCCGTGCCGGAGGCAGGATAGGCTGCAGGGGGTTGTGCTGTCTGTGCTGGGTCTAACACTCCTTCAAGCAGTGAAAACTGGACTTTTGTTGTTGTCCATGTTAAGAAATGTGGGGTGCAATCCCTCCTCACGGGGAGGGGCAGTTAGGCCAGTACCTGCAGTGGGGGATCCGTGCCAGAGCTCTGGCACCACTGGCTGCCCCTGGAGGGACGGCGCCCACTAGTCCAAACAAAGTGTGTGTGAGATCCATGGGATGGTCAACAGGAAAACAGCAGGGCAATTTTAGAAAGGGTGGGATACAGGATGGGCAAGATGGATTATTTTTTTCAGCATCTGAGTAGCTGTTTTCATCTTGCTCCTTGTGGACGTTCCATCCCTGGAAGTGTCCAAGGCCAGTTTGGACAGGGCTTGAAGCAACCTGGTCTAGTGGAAGGTGCCCCTGCCCATGGCAGGGGTCCAGATGATTTCTAGGTCCCTTCCAAACCAAACTATTTGGGGATTCTCTTCTGGATTTCTCTTTCTGGGCTCAGCAAACAGCAGCCAGGAAGGGAATAATGAACCAGTGCCAAAGGCAAGGCAGGAATTCACCCCAAGGATAGATCTGAGAGAGGTGGCCAGAGGCTGTGCCGGCACTGATGGAGACCTTCTTGGGGTGGTGCGCGGGGTGGGCTGGAGCCAGGGATCCTCTGCCATGAGATTGCTTTGCTGTTGTCTTTTCAGAGATGGAAGGCCAGGTTCCTCCTGGGTTTCCCTTGGACATGGGAGGCTGTTGCTGCTGCGCTCCCCGGCACAGGGGGATGGTCCTGCCCTCTCAGTTATTCCTCTGGGGTCAGAGCAGCTGCAGAAACGCAGGTGGAGAAGGCAAGGACAGATCAGGGTCCTCACCTTCCTGGCCCTTTGTTTCTGTTCCTCTCTCTTTCCATCCCTTGTTTCCCCCAGACATCTGCTCTGCAGCCGCAGCACTGGGGTGGGCCGTGTAACCCCTGAGCTGCCGCAGCATTCCTGGGCTCTCCGGAGCCGAGGGCCGGGTGGAGGTGTCCTGTGGGAGCAGGAATCTGGAATATCCTGTGGGACACTCCCATAGCCATCATGGCAGTGCCAGGTCCATCTCTGCCTCACCACTGCATCCTGCTACCACATCCACCGAATGGTGTGTCCCACATCCCTCCGGATCCTTCCCTCCTGGAAGGATCCTTCCCTGTGTCCCTGAGTGTGGCATCTGCTGTTCAACCCTGCCCTGCGGGGTCTGCCAAGGTGTGTTGATGTGAAGAAGGGACATGGGCTAGTGGAGGCATTGGCAGTGCTGAACTTGATGATCTTTGGGGGCTTTCCCAGCCTAAACCATTCCATCATCCTAAGCCTCAGGTGTTTGGGACTGATGTAGCTGCTTCAGTGCTTTCTTCTCACCTTTAATAGAAACAGCAAACCTGAAATTAATTTGCTCCAAGTGATGTTTGGGGAAGCAGTGGTGTTCCCTGTGCATGTGGAATGCAGCTCCTGTCCCAGGTGCCAACCTGTGAGGGCAGGAGCTGCTTTTTGGCTGGGCAGGGTGCTCCAGCAGCACCGGGGTTTCCTTGGAGCTGCATTCCTGCAGGCAGCACCAGGCTCTGGGGCTTTGGGTGCAAAGGGCTGGTTTGAGCTTTCAGAGCACAATAAAGCAGACCCGAGGCTGCTGTTGGGCTCGTTTGAGGAGAGGAAACCAGAGCTGCCTCATCCCTGCAGCCGATAAGGGCAGTTACAGGCAGCCCTGGAGCTGAGCCAATGGGAGAGCGGGGCAGAGATAAGGTGGGGGGAGCGCTCTGGGGGCTGCAGTGGTGCTGCTGGGGGCCTACACACCCATCCTGCATGGATTCTGATCCAGGTCTGATCCAGAAACACAGTGAGTCTCCCTGCCCTGTGGCAGCCAGAGGGATTCCTGCCCAGGTTGTGCCAGCTGGTGCTTGGGTACCGTCCCCCACGCAGACACCATCAGCAATTTCTTTGATGCCTCTGGAAATGTTTTTCCCCCTGGATGTCCCTAGTGTTCATCTGCCCCACACAGCAGCTGTCTGGGACTGAAGCTGGGTGGCAGAGGGCTCTGGTGCCCCCGCAGTGCCGTCCACCTTGCCGGGTGCCAGCCCCAGGGAGTGTTGCCCTTGGACCAGACATTTCAGGGCTAGAGGTGATGCTTCTGGTTGGTGACATAGATTCCTGATTGGTGACATAGAAAGGAGCAGTTCCCAAAACTTATGGGACCTATTTGCTGTGTGAAGGTTAATTATGGAAACACGCCGTGTCTGGGAGAACATCCAACAGCATTCCTCATTCCTGCCCGTGTGCCCTGTCCGTGTCTGTGCTGGTGGCTCTGAAGTCTCTGCCCTTTGCTGGATGGTGCTGGGAGCTGGAAGCAGATAACTGGTGTTCATTGGTGCCACGTGCCAACCTGCTTCAGCTCCTCACATTTTCAAGCAGTGAAGGCACATCCCCCTGGTTTGGGAGAGGCCTTGGGAGTTTCTGTCATTCCTGTAAAAGGCAGGCGAGAACTTCTGCTTCCAGCCGGGAAGGGAAGTCCCTGTTGTACGCAGAGATTTATTTTCAGGTGGGATGGAAAGAAATCTCACCAAAAAGAAAGAAAAACCAGCAATTTTCCCCCGCTGGTGCTGGAGTTGGAGCTTCCCCCACAGTGCTGGGCAGCTGTTTCCAGCTTTCCATGAGGTAACGTGCGGGCGATTTTGGGGCAGGGTTTTCTCCTCACACACTAATTGGCTGTGTGGGATGTTTTGTGGGGATTTGGAGCCTTGCTGTGGGAAGCTGGGAGCCTGGGCTTGGATTTCTCCCTTCTTAGTTTTGATTGTTAAAGGGAAAGTGCAGAGCCAGGGTTCTGGGAAGTGGCTTTCCTGCCTGTAACTCGACTGGCTCAGGTGTTCCAGGTTGCTGCTTTTAGAGTTTTATGGTCCTGGGCTTTTCCCTGTCCACGCCTGTTCCAGGTCAGGGCGGGGTGGATGGAACTCCAAAAGCACTCAGGGCAGAGATGTCAGACTCCAGGCACCCCACAGCCAGAACCATTCCTGTTGGAGCCATCAGTGAGTTATATCCAGGGAAATGCCGTGGTGGAGTGACTGCAGGAAGGGGATTGGGGAATTTTGTCCTTTTTCTCCACTTCCATGTTGGTTTTTATCCCTTTCTTCTGGCACAATGGGAGCCTCTTCTCTTCCTTCATTTTTGCTTTCTGCTCCTCGCCCTGGTGTGCTGCGGGGTGCTGGGGGGTGCTGTGGAGTGCTGGGGGGTCTGGGTTCCCCGCCTTGGGGGGACCAGGTGAGTGACCCCAGGCTGGGGGAGCTGGACCCACTCGGGGCATTTCTGATGGACCACAGTGGCCACTGGGCCACAGCCTGTGCCCCTTGCTGGGTGCAGGGGAGGGGAGAGCAGCTGTGGGTGCCTTTTGCTTGGGAAATGCCATCCAGCCTCAGCAGGTGTCAGAGAAGGGCAGAGTCTTTGCCTGGGGGGGTTCTCTGGTGGCTCTGGTGGGGGTTGTGCACCATTGGGAGCCTTTTCCAGTGAGGGCATTGGTGCTGGTTCACCCCATGGGGTTGTCCAGGTGTTTCCCAAGGGCTCATCTCCCATTGAGAGCTTCCTTGGGAGCCTGAGGCATATTGGGATCACTGGTCTATCTTCCCTGCCTGCAGTCAGGAAGCTGGTGGGATTTATCCCCTTGTTTCTCATGGATGTGTGGGCTCTGCTGGGTGTGTTTCCCTGCCTGTCTGCCAGTGCCTGTGCCTGCTCCTCCCGCGATGCAACTTGAATGGGATCATTTCCGGCCCATTTAAACTGCAGATCTCAAAGATACTGAGCTGCTACAAGCTCCTGGAAATTGTTTGCTGACCAGAGGAGGCGAGGCGAGGAGACCCTCTTTGTGCCCTGCTGAGGGTGGGTGTAGTGTTTGATGAGCCTGTATTAGACATCAGAGAATCCCCGTGTCCCCATTGGAAACCCGTTTCTGTCGCTGCTGCCGGGGCTCAGGCTGAGGCAGTGGTGGGTCCCCAGGCACCATTCCCTGGGGTCAGGCTGGATTCCCAAGGGAGGCTGCAGCCGGGGATGAGTTCTGGGCTCGGGTCCCATCCCCCCGCCCTGGCAGTGAGGCTGCCAGGAGGTGGCAGGGAGGGCTGGGAACACGGCTGGAATGGGTAACCCCGTGCCCGGTGTCCGGCTGTGCCCCCGCGGCAGGAGCGTTTGCCTGCCCGACCTTTCCTGCGCCTCCCTGGGAAAGCACGTCCGTGGGAAGGGCGGGAGAAGGAGGAAGCTGGCTGCTGGCTCCCTCCGGGACGGGACACTTGGAAACCTTTTCTGTGCCAGCGCTTCGACGTGGGGAGGGCTCAGCCTGGGCTGAGCAGAGCACCCTGCCCGTGGGGGGCTGCTCGCTGTTCGAGGGGCTCTGGGGGGATGCAGGACCTGCCGCAGCAGGCAGAGCCCGGGACCCGGCTCCCAAAGAGGGAGAGGAGAGGGGAGGTGCGGGGCCCTGGCCCCCCGCCAGCCCCGCGCGGGGGAGGCAGCAGAGGGGAAGGAAATGTCGTGCTCTGACTCCGCGTTTCCAGCGGGGCGATGGGCGGCCGAGCCAGTCCCACGTGGAACATCCTGTCCCGGCTGCTCCGGCTGCTCCCGCCCCGCCGCCGTGGCCACGCGGGGTGTCCCCGGGCTCGGCACGGCCCCGTCGGTGCCCAGCCATGCTCTTCTACCAGCTCAGCCCCACCGTGGGCTCGGGTAAGCTCGGCTGGGCTCTGCTCCTGCTGCCCTTCCCTCCGCCGGCCTCTCCATGGGAGATGCCAGACCCATCCCTGGGGCGGGATCCGTGGGGCAGCAGCTGGTGGGAGGTTGGTGTTTCTGCTCGTGGCTGGGGGCACCCAGAGCTGCAGCCACTGCCTGGGGTGGCCCCATGGAACTTCCACTGGGAGCAAAGGGGGAGCAGAGATAAGAAGGAACAAAGGCTGGCAGGTCCACTGGCGGGGCTGTGGGAAATGCCTGTCCCTGAGTCCTGCCCGCCCCACGGGTATGGGAGGGATCTGCTTCCAGAGCTGGCACGGCCAAAGAGATTCACAGGGACCACCAGCCTTGGTGCCCTCCTGCTGGACAGCAACAGCCACGGGGTGCCCACCCCAGGGAGGGTCAGGGTCTTTGGGAGGGACACAGTGCTCCACATGGAGCAGCTGCCCCGGGACAGCGCCAGGGCTGAGTTCTCCACTGGGATTGCTGGGGCTGAGCCCTGTCGGGGCAGGAGGGGTCAGCCCTGGGTTTTGGCTGGGTTTGCACCACGGCCAGGGACAGCTGTGCGGTTTGGACCCAGATGCAGATGCTCGTTCCAAAACTTCTTCCCAAAACTTCCCAAGTATTTGGGTCCAGGGTTTTGGCTTGGTCCTGTCCTGAATTGAGCTGCTTGTTTAGAGCTTCTTTTTTCCCCTACTCTAGGTTTGGACTGGGGAATGCAAAATGGAGCCAGAGCTCTGAGTTGAGGCAGTGGGTGGATAGGGATGGAATCGGGGTATTCCAGTGCTGGGTGGGTCTGGCCTCAGCCCACTCTGTGCCTGGTGGTGCCTCTGGGAGAGATGGGACAAACCCTGAAGATGCCAAGGCATTTTCTACTCTTGAGGTCAAACATTGTCACCCTCAGCAGTAAAAATGCGGTGCCAACACCTAGCAATGACTTGCTGTGGCTGCAGGAGTTTTGAGCTGTTTTCCCACAAGTTCTCTAAATTTGAGGAATTTCCCAGGAAATGGTGCTGCTTGCTGGATGAGTTCATCCAGGCGATGGCTGATGCCTGTGTGAGGGGTGGGAACTGGCTGGGTGAGGGGGGTAGAACCCCATCAGGGGTTTGGTGCCCACTGGGACAAACACCAGCTCGAAAGAAGAGGCAGGGAGGGCCAGGCGGTGGGAAGGAGGTGGGGAGGAAGGCCTCCTTTGGCAGGATTTTCTGGAGGATGTTTGCAGAAGTGACCAGCCCTGAGCTTTGATGAGCTCTGAACTCATTATTACAAATAAAGATCTTCCTCTCCTGCCTGGCCAAGAACTGTATTTGGTTGGTGGGTTAAGAAACAAAACATTTCACTGGAAGGTTAAAATTGTGTCTCGTGGCCTTGTCATTCCTGTCACTTCCTGATCTTTGCCTGGTGCTGTTGGAGAGGTGCAGCTGAGCTGTGTCTGCCCGAGCCCCCTCTCTGTGCCCGGCATTGCTGCCCACGGGACCCCTGGCTCCCAGTTCCACAGCTGGGCATCTCCTCTGCTCCGTGCACGTGGAACAGGGGCTTGATGCCGGGCATCTGGGGGAGTGGGCTGTGACCCAGGCAGCGTTGCTGCTGCCACCGGGATGCTCAAGCTGGTTCTTTGCTTTCTTCCAGAAGCTGAAGCCAAGAAAGCCTGTGACTGGCTGCGGGCAGCAGGATTCCCCCAGTATGCCCAGCTGTACGAAGGTGAGAGCTGCCTCCTCCCACTGATCCCTGCTCTGTACCTGGGCTCAGAGCCCATATCTCATCCAGATTCCGAGGAGAGCTGCGGGGAGAGCGCCTACAGCTCCAGGAAGAGGAGGGGATGGAGAGGATTGTTCACTGATTATATGATCGTGTGTAAAACTTGGCTGTGCCCTTGGCTGTGGCCTGGAGAACCAGCCACAATTAACTTTCCTGCATTCCTGAACTTTTCCCCTTCAGGCAGGGCTAGAAGGAGTCCCAGGGCGGCTGCTCCAGCCAAGGGCAACCAGGCTTTGGAGAGCCATCAACTCGGGAGAGGTTCAGTGAGTGTTTGCCGTGGGTGGGAGTGCAGGGGCAGCCAGTGTAGGTAACATGGAGAGCAAACACGTTCTCCCTCCTTCCCTCCCTTCCTGCTGACCATCCTGTGGCCCCTGCCCTGCTCCGGCTTGCCCTCTCTGAGTGCTCGGTGAGCCCAGCCCGGTGCAGATCTGCTCCCCAGGGCTCCTCAGGTGTGGGGCAGGGGCAGACCCCCAGCGTTCCCGCTCCCGGTGCTGTGCCAGGTGCCCAGGGCGGGTCACGGGGTGGCTGTGCCAGTGGGCCTCACCTTGGGCTCAGCTGTGTTTACTTGGAAGCCACAGCAGGACCCTGGTCCTGGCCGGGGGTCGATGTGGAGCGGCGGCTGCAGCCGGCCCTGCTGGCCGGACAATAGCGGGAAGCGGGATCCGGCGGGGTCCGGGGGCCGTGGCCATTGTTCGGCCGGGCACTTCCACCGGCCCCGCAGCAGCAGCCCCCGGGGATGGCTTTATGGGCTGCCTGTTTGCTGCTGCTGTCTATTTTGGGGGGCAGGCCCCACGTGCAAGGACGGGCTGGGTTCCTGCCGGGAGACCCCCAGCACCAGGTCCTGGCCCCAGGCCGTGCTCACAGCTGGGCACTGTGGAGCGGTGCTGCCCCTGGAGTCCGGGAATGAACCCACCCCTTTCCAGCCTCTCTCCACAGAACTTCCCACATCCTCCAAGTGTTTCCCTCTGTTTCCCTTCCCTTGGTGATTGCACTCCATGGCTTAATGAACAGCTGGATTGAGACTCTTGGGGTTGAGGGTCCAGATCCCACATTTATGATCCCAGCAGAGCAGGGAACTGGATGGATGCTGTCAGGCACCTCGTCACCCTCACCTAACACACCTGAGAGCTGTGCCCAGGGACCCTGGGCATGCACCACCTCTGGGTGGTCTCCAGCCACTCAGGTCTCTCCTTCTCTTGCTCCTGGCAGCCTTTCCCTCCTCCCATACCTCCTGCTGCCTGATGGAGCAGCTGGCTCGGGAGCGGCCGCTGACGTCCCTCTCGCTTTCCTCCCCAGACTCCTTATTCCCTCTTGACATTGGCGCTGTGAAGAAGGACCACAGCTTCCTGGACCAGGATTCCCTCAAATCCCTGTGCAGGTAATACTCCCTCAAATCCCTGCACAGTGCAGGGCATGGAACCAGCATGGGGATGTGCTCCAAGCAAGGGCTGGGGCAGCTGTCCTGGGCTGATGGGGTGATGGGTGCTGCGGGTGCCCACCTTGTACCTCAGCCGGGCTCAGAGCCTGCTCTGCTGCTGTTGCTCCCTCCGCAGTGAGGACTCTGGATGTGTCAGTTGGGTTGGGCAGCACTGCTGGTGTTGGGTGGTTCCAGGGAAACAATAGCTTTTTTATGAACATCCAGAGCTGCTAGAGAACAGAAACATTTCCCAGGAATAATTCTTCTCTTTGTGGGGCTGTTGGGCTGTGCTTTAATTTCCAGCTTGGGTAACTAGACTGTAGAGCTCAGCTAGAATTGGGTTGGTCAGAGCTGAGCTGTCAAACTGAGCAGAGGTGTGTTGTCCCTGTTGTCCTGCTCCCCTACCCCCTCCCACCACCCCAGGTGCATCCTTTGGCAGTGATACCCAGGGCAGGGAGCTGTGTCTGCCCAGGGCACCTTTACCAGAGACTCACAGAATCATTTAGCTTGTAAAAGACCTCTAAGATCATTAAATCCAACCATTGCCCAGCACTGCCAGGGCGATATTGTGAGGATGCTGTGTAACATCTCAGAGAGCTAAAGCCAGAACTAAAGCCTGGTGTGGAAGCCAGGTCTGTGCATCAGAGAGGGGAGTCTTGCCTCGTGATGAGGAACTGCAGGGGCTCGTGGTGGGGCGGGAGGCAGGAGCTGGTGGCTCACAGGGGGGTTTGCCGAGCGCGGGTGGGTCTGTGCCAGTGGGACCCTCCCTCCCCGGCACACCACACTGTCAGCTGCTCTGAGCTGGGGCTTCTGCCTTTCCAAGTGTTCTCTGGCTCCATGTGACCATACTGTGTGTGATGCTGGTTGTCCTGGTGCCAGGCAGCACAGCCCAGCCGTGTGTTTTCCACCAGGACACAGTGCTGCTGGATCAGCAGGGCTGGGAAGAGCTGAGGGAGCTGCCGCCGGGTGTGCTGTGCAGGGAGCAGTGTGTGCTGTGCAGGGAGCGGTGTGTGCTGTGCAGGGAGCAGTGTGTGCTGGGGGGACTCTGCCAGCACAGAAGCTGACACCCAAAGGGAGGGACTGACTGGATAGTCCCTCTGTCCGGACGGGCCGCGTGTCACCGGTTCTGTGGGTGACTCAGCCTCGCCTTGGCTCTCGGGACACATCATCACAGCCGTGCCCCCGTGCTGACTCTGCGCCCTCCCTCTCACCCAGAACAGACAAGGGGCGGGAACAGGGTCTGTTACTTGTTTTCCCGACAGGACAGAGAGGCGGCTGTGCTGGGCAGGAGGGGATCCCCACACCGCTTCCTGGTGCAGAGTGGTGGGAGGTGATGGGAGGTCTCTGCCTGTCCCGCCCTGTCTGAGCTTTTGGGCCTTTTTTGGGTCCTTTAGTCATTCCCTGTCCCAGCCACAGCAGCTTTTGAGCTGGTTTTGCTCTAATAACTTGGAGCAGGTCATCCGTGCTCACTCATAGGACCAGTGGGCCCAGCTGCTGGCATGTGTGTGGCCTGGCTTAGGCTACCATCTGCTGGCATCGTCCCCCCAGTAGCTGGGTGTCCCCCTGGCCCTTGGAGCCACAGCTGCAGTTGACAGGTGACAGGCACAGGCAGGAAAATGAAAAGAAGCCAAAGCCAGCCCTGTGACAGCAGCAGGGCCAGAACTGGGGCTGGGACCAGGGTAAAGCCTCTCTGTTTCTCGCAGGAGGCTGATGACCCTGAACACTTGTGCCTCCATGAAGTTGGATGTTCACTTTCAGCGTAAACAGGTAGGTCCTGGGCACTCAGGGCAAGTGAGGGGACTGGGGGGTGGGGGGGATCACGTGCTCAGCGGTGGGACAGTGTCCTGGGGTGCTCCATGATGATCCTGGGTACAGAGTGGTTCCTGGAGCCCTCTGCTGCCAAATGGGACTGGAGCTGGTTTAAGGGGGTGAGCACACTTCTCTCCTCCCCACTGGGGACTGTGCCCGTGGCTGTGCCCCTCTCTGGGGTGCTTGTCCCCTGGGCACGCTGACCCTCCATGGCTCCAACCAACTGATCATCCCCTGTTCTCAACCACTCACAGAATGAAGACTCTGAGGAGGAAGACCTGTGTGCCATCAGCAACCGGTGGGCTTTCCAGAGGGACAGCAAGAGGTGGTCCCGGGTAGGGTCGGCCGATGTCCTCTCCCAGGGCTCGGAGGCCTTGAGCTGCACCATGAGGCCGGTGTCCAGCCACGAGAGCGTCCTCACGGACCTCAGCACCAACCCGGAGGCCGCGTCCCTGCACAGCACGGGCAGCGTGGGCAGCGTGGGTGGCACGCGTGGCACGCTGGGCACTGCAGCTGCGCCGTCCGAACCCCCGTCACCGCTCCATCCCGCCGCCAGTGCCACCAGCTGCAGCCGGAGCGAGCATTCCTCACTGGAGCAGCCCCCGAGCCGCAGAGAGGGCTCCAAGGAGAAGCCAAAGAAACGACGGTCTCGCAGCTTCCTGAAGCGGATCGAGTCCCTGCGGAGGAAGGACAAGGAGAAAGCCAGCCCAGACGGGAGGGTGGCCCTGCACAGCAGCAAAACTCTCCCACCGGGATGGGGGCCCCTGAAGAGTAATGGGGACCTCGCAGCCACCAGGACCAACTCCTCTAAGAGAGAGATACCCGCCTCTTTCCATGGCAAAAAACACTTCTTCTCACTATCGTACAGGACTAACCGCCCGCTCGGCGCCGGGGGCACCACGGAGGGCTCTGACCCCAACTGCAGCGGAGTTTCCCTGGAGGACTTTGACACAGCTGCCACGGCCAGCAGCGCCTGGGCTGCCGCCTCTGCGTGCCAGCGCCGGCGGGCTCGCCGTGGGGACTGCCTGGTCTACATCCCCTGTGACCACAAGCCTGGCACCTTCCCCAAATCCCTCTCCATCGAGAGCTTGTGTCCCCTGGGCGGCAGTTCCCTGGCCCGCTGGGACCCGGGGAGCGTGGCCGGGGGGCTGGGGGCGGGTGGCAGGGGCGGCAGCAGCAGCAGCACGGAGGGCTCGTCCTCCCCCCGCGGCTTTGCCCGCCGGCGCCGCGGCTCCTGTAGCTCCCTGGGCAGCCGGGTCAGCGTCTACGACAACGTGCCGGACTTCGGCAGCAGCGAGGATTTCTGCAAGGACGGGGAGGTCACCTATGAGAACCTCGACGACATTCTGCAGCACATGTGGGGGCTGCAGCAGAAGGTGGAGCTCTGGTGTAAAGCCATCGCCCCCGGCCTGGGTGGGGAGGAAGGAGGTGAGGAAGAGGAGGATGAGGAGGAGTTGGATTCGGGAGGGGAACCCTCCAACCTGCACTTCGAAGAGCGATCCATGTCGGACGTAGGCACCTCTGCCAGTGACTTTGACAGCACGGGGAACTCCCTCAACGAGGCTGAAGAGATTGAGATGCGGGAGCGCCGGGATTCGGGGGTGGGAGCGTCGCTCACAAGGCCCTGCAGGTATCACAGAATCCTGGGATGGTTTGGGTGGGAAGGGACAGAGACCATCTCTTTCCACCCCCCTGCTACGGGCAGCGACACCTTCCTCTAGACAGGGTTGCTCCAAGCCCCGTCCCGCCTGGCCTTGAACACTTCCAGGGATGGGGCAGCGGGGAGGGGTGCACAGCCCACGGCTCGGAGGAGCAGCACCCCGATCCCGTCCTTGGGGGGCTGGCGGATCGCCCCTCGCCGGGAGGCAGGAGCTGGCGGAGGGAGGGAAGTGCAGCTGGAGCAGCCCAGCCCGGGCAGGGGAGCGCGGCGCGGGTGCGCTCTGGCGGCCGCAGGACACCACTGCCACCGCTGCCAGCCCTCCGTCCGCACGGGCCCGTCATTGAAAGGTTTCTCGTTAACTGAAACCAAGCGAAAGCGCAGGAGGCACATGCCTCCCCTGTGCCAGTGCCCCCGCGTGCTTTCCCTTGGAGAACTCCAGCCATTGCTGAGTTCTGTGGCTTTTCTCGCCCTTGCTTAGCGGTGCTGGAGAGCGATGTGCTTGCACCCACCGCTGTGCCCGCACCTTCCCCACAGCCAGGGGTGCCCTGGGCAGGGACAGGCTCTTCCCTGGGCTCGTCAGCTCTCACACCCGCTTTTTCCATCCAGAAAACTGCGCTGGCACAGCTTCCAGAACTCGCACCGGCCCAGCATGAACTCGGCCTCGCTGGAGATCAACCGCCAGTCCTCGGCCCAGCTCAACCTGCTCCAGAAGTGCTCCCTGCTCCGGCTCACTGCCATCATGGAGAAGTACTCGGTGCCCCACAAGCAAGCCTGGACGTGGTGAGCTGGCAGGGAGGTGATCAGGATGGTGCCCACAAGCTGCAGCTTGTGCTGTGCCGGGCATTGCCTCCAGCCCAGGGCAGCTTCAGGGGGTGGAGACGGTGGAGAGGGAGGGGGAAGAGCCAAAACAAGGGATGGCTTTGCTCTGTCAAGTGTGAGCTGGGGCTGACCCCCAGGCACCTGGCATTGTCTGCATCCAGGGGGCTCCTGGCATCATCTGCAGCCATGGGGGCTGCAGATGCTCGTGGGGCATTAAAAATGCTGCAGCAGCATGAGACAGTGGGACAGTATCATAGGCAAGCATTTTGGCTTAATAAAAGATGCTGGAATTCCTGCTGGAATTCCAAACACGGCAAAAGTGTGTATGTGTGGGTGGGTGGGTGGGTGGGTGTGTGTGTGTTTGTGTGTGTGTGTGTGTGTGTGTGTGAGTTCCCAGGGTCCCGCTCCCCCTGTGAGGGGTTGTTGAGGGCACTGATTGTTGCGCTGATTTCTCTCTGTTCTACTCTACAGGACTGTCCCCAAGTTCATGAAGAGGAGTAAAGTCCCCGACTACAGGGACAAGATGGTTTTTGGGGTGCCACCCATTGTGAACGTGCAGCGCACGGGGCAGCCCCTGCCCCAGAGCATCCAGCAGGCCATGCGCTACCTGCGCAGCCAGTGCCTGGACCAGGTGATGCTGCGACCGCTGGGCAGGGTGCTGGGATTTGGGGACAAAAAATATAGCTTTGGGGGTGCCTTCATTCACCTCCCGTGGTGTGTGGTGAAGTGGGACTGTGGGATTGTTTGTGGGAACCTCACGCCCACTGGTGTCCCCTCGGCCATCCCTCACTCAGCGTCTCCTCTGGGTCAGGGGGAGGAGCTTTTTGGGGGATGGTGTCTTTGCCTGTCCCATGGGTGCCCAGCCAGGCCGGTGCCCACTCACCCCCACTCTGCCCCCTCAGGTTGGCATTTTCCGTAAGTCGGGGGTGAAGTCCCGGATCCAGGCGCTCCGGCACATGAACGAGAGCAGCCCTGACAACGTCAGCTACGCGGGGCAGTCTGCGTATGACGTGGCCGACCTGCTGAAGCAGTACTTCCGCGACCTGCCCGAACCCATCTTCACCAGCAAGCTGACGGACACCTTCCTGCAGATCTACCAGTGTAAGGGCCGGGGAGGGGGGTCCCTCTGCTCCCGTGGGTGGAGGCGGTGGGGGCGGGTGGGGGCTGCGGGCATGGCCCCCCTGACACTGACACTGCCCCGTGCCCGCAGTCGTGTCCAAGGAGCAGCGGCTGCAGGCGGTGCAGGCTGCCATCATCCTCATGCCCGACGAGAACCGCGAGGTGCTGCAGACCCTGCTCTACTTCCTGAGCGACATCGCCTTGGCCGAGGAGAACCAGATGACTGCTGGGAATCTGGCCGTGTGCCTGGCCCCCTCCATCTTCCACCTCAACGTGTCCAAGAAGGAAAGCACCTCGCCCAGGTAAGGGCACCTCGCCCAGGTAAGGGCACCTCCCCATCACCCTTCCCTGCCCGTTGCAGGAGGAGGCCAGCGGGATGGGGTGATGGTGGGACACAGATGCTCTTGGCACAGCCCATCGCTCTGCCCTGCAGACTGGGGGTCCCCAGTGTGACATGAATCAGAGCCATGGGGGGCTAGGGGCGTGCAGTGCCCACTGGTCCCAGCACCCATTGCCCCCCCACAGGGCCATACACAAGAGGGGCACCATGGGGAAGCCGGACCAGAAGGACCTTAACGAGAACATGGCTGCGACGCAGGGGCTCTCCCACATGATCACCGACTGCAAGAAGCTCTTCCAGGTGGGTGGCAGTGGTGTCCAGCCCAGCACTGCCCGTGGGAGGTGTGACCTCACTGGTGGGTGCCAGTCCTGGGGCGAGATGAGGGCACCCACCCCTAAGTGGGGCAGCTGCCACTGGCCAGTCACCCCAGGGGCAGAGCCCAGTTTCATCTCCTGGTGGTGCCGGCTGTATGTCCAGGGGGGCTCTGTCCATCCTCCCTGTTCCTTGGTTGGAATGAGTTGTGGTTCTTTAGCTGCCCAGGACACTGACAAAGTCCCTGCAGGATTCATTTGACTCGCTGAAGATATGTGTTCTTGGTTTGCAGGTCTCCCACGACATCCTGCTGCAGCTGAGCAGCTCCTATATGGCTGCAGATGCTTATCCACACCCCCTGACTGACTTGGTATGTCAGGGGGAGAGCAAGGATCTGCACTCCTACTTTGAGCAGAGCGTCCAGAACCTGCTCAAAGAGTCATCAGAAAAATTCAAGGGGTGGCTGAGCAGCCCGGGGCCCCTGAACACAGAGCTGTCCTGCAAAAAGGTAAATGCCATGGTGTGGAGGGACTTGGGGACATGGGGAAAATGTATATGGGGTGACCATGGGGATCTCCAGGCACCTACGGACCTGCTGGCACCCCTTTGGTGCTTGTTCTCTTGTGCAAGGTGGGATCGGCAACCCTTTCCCTGGACAGAGAGGGGACTGAGGGATGGAGGCTGCTCTGGGCCCAGCAGTCCTGGCAGAGAGCCCACCACATTAGCAGGGAAGCTGGCTGCTGCCATCCAGTGCTCCTCCAGCAGCCAAAGCAGATCCCATGCCATCCCATCCCCAGTCAGCCCCTCACGTTGTCCCCTCAGGTCGGGGACGGGAACCCTCTACGCCTGTGGAAGGTCTCCACGGAGGTCGAGGCCCCTCCGGCCACGGTGCTGCACCGGGTGCTGCGGGAGCGTCACCTGTGGGACGAGGACCTGCTGCAGAGCAAGGTGGTGGAGGCCCTGGACCAGGACATGGAGGTGTATCACTACGTGACGGACAGCATGGCCCCCCACCCGCGCAGGGACTGCATGGTGCTCCGGTGAGGGCGGGCAGGGACCCCGGCAGGGTTTGCTCGTGGTCTGGGGGATCCCACCTGCTCCAACCCCATCTCCTACCCCCTGTGGGGGGTTCCCCCACCCCTCTGATCCCGCTGTGGGCCCCGCGGGTGGGCACAGAGTGACCCCTGCTCGTCCCCAGGCGCTGGCGCACGGACCTGCCGCGGGGAGCCTGCCTGCTCATGGCCCTCTCGGTGGAGCACGACAAGGTGCCGGTGGAGGGAGGCGTCAAGGCCGTCGTGATGAAGTCCCAGTACCTCATCGAGCCCAGCGCCATGGGCCGCTCCCGAGTGACCCACATCTGCAGGGCTGACCTCAGGTAATGGGGCCCTCGGTGCCACCGGCACGGGGACGGAACACCAGGTCCTGGTGGGGCACCAGAGCTGCCCACCCCTCCGTGGGCCTGGCCTGGCTCCTGCCCCACGGTCCTGCCTGCCCCGAGGGGAGGGCGCTGGGCTGGGGCCAGGGTTTGCCTGCCGGGTGGGGACTGGACAAGGAGTCACCAGTTCCTCCCATGGCTCCGAGGTGGCAGCTCCTGCAGAGCACCCGGGGTTCCCTGTGGGTCTGGAGCACGGCCTTGGCGCTGCTGAGCTGTGCTGGGGTTCGGGGGTGCGAGGGTGGGCTGGTGGAAGGGGCAGCCTGGTTGGCTCACAGATATTCCCCACATGCCTGAGGTGGGGATGGGGGAAGCAGGTCCCTGTCCTGGCACACAGTGCTCGTTCATCACCTCCTCGTCCCTCCCCGTGGGAGCTGTGCCCAGTGCCTGTCCCCAGCAAGGGGCACTGTGCTGCTCCGTGGCAGGTGCCAGCATCCCTCCTGCCCGCTCATCCCTCTCCTGCCTCTTCCCTTCTTCAGGGGCCGGTCTCCCGAGTGGTACAACAGAGTCTTTGGCCACCTCTGTGCCATGGAGCTGGCGAGGATCCGTGACTCTTTCCCAGCCCTGAGTCCCAGTGGCCCTGAGACGAAGATCTGAGGTGCCAGGAAGATGCTCTGTCCTGCCTAACATGGACTCGCCGTGGGTCTGGACTGGGGCTCTCAGCAGGGAGCACGGCGTGGGCAGTGCCCGTGGAGGGGGAGGCAGAGGCACATATTTATAAATGTCCTTCCACCCCGGGCTGGGCAGTCCCTGTCCCACCAGCCCTGAAGCGCTGCAGGGCAGAGGGTCACAGAGGAAAAGCCACGCAGCCCCTGTCCCACAGGAGGGGTGGGGGAAGAGGAAGAGGGGCTGTGGGGTGACCCCAGGAGGGCAGCCTGCGGCAGGAGCTGGGTCCCCCAACGCCAGCTGGGAGCAATGGTGGGGGCGAAGGAGTGTGGAGTGAGGGGGGAGGACACAGTAGGATGGAGCAGAGAGGACGGGGCCGTGTCCACAGGTCGCAGAGCTGTGTCGGGAAGTGCAGGGTGGGCAGTGAGGGGTGGAGTGTGTCTGTGGTGTCACCCGGCAGGGACAGCCAGCAGGTCACAGTTTGGTAGTGGAAGAGGCTGCTGTTCTGGGAGGAGGGGGGCTCCCCATGGATACATAGGTACAGCTCGAGTGCCAGCCCCTGTCGAGGGGCAGAGGGAACCTGTTGCAGCTTTGGTGCTGAATTCATGGACGAAGCAGCCCTGTACTCCTGGGCCTCGCTCTTCCTTGGCTAAAAGCCCTCTTGTGCACTTGGTTTCAGTGGGGCTGGATGAACAATGTTCCAAGCCAAGCCCATCCCTCTTAACCAGCCAACCTGCCCTTATTGGGGCAGGACATGTCTGGAGCCCCAGAGCAGCTGTCCCTGAGTGGGCTACAAGGGGAAGGGGCAATGCCTGGAAGGCAGGACAAAGGGAGGGAGGGAGGGACCCCCTGGAACAGCAGCTCCCCTTTCTTTGCTGCCATCAGGGCTCAGGGCCATGCCCTGAGAGGGGAGAAGGGCAGAGCAGCACTAGCTGCTCCATGGCAGTGCCCGGGGCTGGAGGCACCCTGAGGACAGTGCAGCAGAGTGTGGTTGCCCAGGCTGGGTCACCCCTGTGCCAGCTGCTGGGCCCAGCTCCATCCCCTCCTGGCTGCCAGGGGTGGTGGGAGATGGAATTGCCCAGGAATCACCTCTTCGGGCAGCCACAGGGGCACAGCCCATGCCCTCTCCCTTCCACAAAGATGTCCATTCCCCTTGCCATCCCTCCCTTCCCTCCATGCAGAAACTGTCCACCGAAGCTGTCAGCACATGGGAGACGACCTGATTTCTCCATTCAGGAAGGGACTCAAATTCCCAGACATTGTTCCAGCTGGAAGGCAACGCGACCCACGTGCTGGGGACCCCCAGTGTCAGTTTGGCCCTAACATGTCCTGTCTGTCTTTTGGTGAAAAAAGCACAAATCAGCCTCTAGTCTGTGTTTTTATATATATATGTGTTTTATATATACATATATATATAAATATAACTAACATTTGGGGGAGTGAATTTTCTCCTGATATTTTTTTAAAGTGTTTCTTTTTTTCTATCTATAAATACTTGTACAGGTGGAATATTAATATATAACTGGTGGCAGAGCTCAGCACCAGGTGATGCTCACTTAGAGCCAGATATTTTGTATTTAAGGGACTTTTGTTTTGTATCATATAAAACTTCAACAATTGTTTGACTTGGATGGGGGCTGCTCTTCCCATCCGTGCAATTAATAAAGTACTAACGAGATCTGCTGGCTGATGAAGAAACCTTCGTGCTCAGAGTTTCAACAGCACTGGAGCAGCCCAGGGCCGAGCAATGCATGTCCTTGGGGCTGCCCATGTGTGGGTGAAGGGACCCAAACCCAGCAGCTCCCACATCCAGCTGTGCTCCACGGCCTTTCCAAGGGTTGGGGTTCACCTGGCATTGCCATCTGCTGTAGGGAGAGCAGCCTGAGGAGGAAGATGAGCATCCAGCATCAATCAAGCATCAGTGATGATGATGAAGAACCCCTTTGTGCTGGTGCTGTCCATGGAGCAGACACCTCTCTCCGCTGTTCTGGAAGCAGTGATGGAGAACATGCTGGAGTAGATGGTGATGAAGGCTGTGAGATTCAAGCCTGGAGAGGAAGAAATGTCTCTCTGAGCATGATCTAAGTGTGGGATGAGCAGCAGTGGGACTCCTCAGGCTTTTAGCACCAGAGGGGGCAGAGACCGGTGGGCATCCCCAGCTCGTCTGGAATCCAGCCCGAGCCTGGCGATGCCCATGGCCAGGGCTCCAGCTCCTGGCTGGAGAGGGGACCCTCCCCAGTCCAGGATGGAGGGTAGAGCTGGCACCTCATCTTACAGGGTCCCAGCAGGATGGCAGCACCCTGTGGACCCACCCAGGCACCCCGCTGGCAGCGGGGTGAGGGCCCTCTAGGCACTGCCACAGGGAACCCTGTCCTGCCGCACATCCGTGCCCGGGTCCCAAGCGCCCAGCGTAGTTGAACAAAGGGGCTCTCCCCACTACACAGTGCTGCACTGGGTGCAGACACTAAAGAACACCCAAAAGCCTCTGCAAAGCCAGCTGGAGGCACGCCAGGGCTTTTGGGCTCACAGGCCCCAGCCACGCTCCCAAATCCACCTTTGCTCGGCGCCGGCAGCTGATCAGTCCAAGAGCGTTTTCCTCTAACCCCTGATTAGCACAAACATTTAAAAATCAATTCTTTAATGAAATCCTCCAAGTCCCATTAACACAGATCCTCATTTTTCCCCCTGCACATTATTTGAGATTAATCTTTTCAAGCCTTCTAAAAGCCAACCCCCACAACTTAGCAAACCTCTACATTGGGAAATGACTGCAGAGTGGTGATACTAGGCTCAGTTTGGCTTAATTGGAGATAAAAGGAGAGGAAATCATTCCTTATTAGCCAGTCAGGTAGGAGCTGTACTGTATTTAGAGTGCAAACAGCCCAGTTACAGGGAGGAAGACGCAGTTGTCTTTCATTACACATACTTGAAAATGTGTATCTGGGGAAAATTATTGATTTTTTTCTCATTCCAAAGAGAAGCTGTAGCCCTCACAGACAGATGTGTAGGCCATGCCCACCCCAGGAGTGGTGCCTGTCCAACCTGTCCATCTGCTCATCCTTGGGGTCCTCAGGTCATTATCTCAGCCCAGGCAGAAGGATCTCTAATGGAGTTGCTCAGCCACAGCTCTCAGCACCCAGGGGTCTTGGCTGGCAGAGTCTACCTGGTTTCATCACCTACCCAGTATCTACATGACCCCCACCACCTATCCAACATGCCCCTTCAGGAACAGACATCACTCTGTATCACACCTGCACCAGGATGGGGCCTCCACAGCTCCACAACTTCTCCCTCCACATGGGCACATGGGCACAATGCTTCCCTTGCCCTAAATCAGCCCCAGTCAGGAGAGACCCTCTTGTCTCTGGGGGGCTTTCAGTGGGCTGGAATAACTTTCTCAGGGAATAAGAGTGAACTGGTTTCCCTTCCTGCATCCACATTGTGGTTTTAACCCCAGCCAGCAGCTCAGCACCACAGAGCCACTCTCTCCCACAACAGCACCAAGGGGAGGAGAATGGCAAAGAAAAGACCTCTTACCTTGTGGGTTGAGATATAAAAGTTTAATAATTAAAAAAAAATACTAGTAATACTAATGAAAAGATGCCCAGTACAGTTGCTCACCCCCTGCTGTCACAGCACCTTTACACCACGTTCGTATTTCTTAATGTGAGCTTTGTTAATGGGCCAAAAATTTCCCACCCTTTGGCAGCAATCCTTGTCCAGACCCTGGGATCACTCCTCCCTCCAAGCCCCAGACACTGTGTGTTGGACACCTCCCCACACGGGCTCAGTCCCTGGGTGGTGCAGCCCAACAATGTGTTACAACACAGACCCGGGGGGCTCAGGAAGGGCTTGTGCAACCATGTAGCATAGATTTATATCCCGGGATTCCAAAGGTGTAACCTCCATGGCAGAGCTCCGCAGTCATGTGCTGGGCAGCCCGAGCTCCAGCACGGCCACATCCCTGGATAGTGTTATGTTTGAGCAAACCAAGCCAGCTTTTCCCTTTTGCTTTGTTTTCCAGTGGGATAATCCCTTGGTTCTCACCCAGGCCTGGCTTCCCTGGTGCTTTTTCCCCCTCTGGACGAAACCCATGCTGCCCGCCCGGGATGGCAGTCACACAAACTGGCACACTGGTTCCAGCATCCCTGTGGAACAGACATTGTCTGGTCCAAGAACAAAACAGGAATTCAGGCATCCTCTCTGCCTGACCCCAGCCACGGGATGTTTGGGGCAAAAGTGTTCATTTTCTTATAAAAGCAAGTGCTGTGAACTCGTGCAGCACTCCCAGCCCTGCCCAGCACCCTGATGGACACGGCTCCTGAGGCTGAGATCACACACCCAGCTCAGACAGGGGCCTGCCATGTGGGATGGTGAGTGGTCCCAGCAGGAATCCTGAGGGATCGGCCCACTTCAGAACACAGACTACCCATCTGCAGCTCCCAGCTGGTGGCACCTCGGCCGGGCCCTGCATTCCTTTTCTGTCCTTGGATCTGGGAGGGGATCCTTCCTCCCGGCAGAAAGGAGATGGAAGAGGGCAAATGGGAGAAAATACTGCTTTAACTGGTGCTTTGAAAGTTAAATAGGAACGTGGGCAGAGTCGTTCTGGAAACAGAGATTGCATAAATCTGATCAGACTCTGTAGGTAAGTGAAGCCAGATGGTCCCTGTGGGAAGGGGAAGGACCTGGGGACTGGAAGAAGTGGGAGACCAAGTCTTTCTTTGGAGACAGGATATGTTTTAGGCAGCACAACTACAAGAACATTTGGGAAAGGTGCTCAGAGGATGCTCCAGCTCTCCTTTTAGTTACAGCCAACCTGGCAGTCCCACGGTTTTTAACTGGGATCCAAAGCCCTGTGGATCCCTGCTGTGTTGCAGAAGCCATCAGGGGATCCCATCCTGCGCTCAGAGCCGGGGCAGCTTCCGAGGGACTCCGGGGGCACGCCCAGGGTGACAACACTCATCACCCTGCTCACAAGTGCAACTCATTTTTATGACATCCTGTTTCTGCTGGGCACCATGACAAAGGAATCTGTTCCTCCTTTCAGGGAAGGAACATGCCACGTCACCTGACAGAGGTGTGTGTGTGTTCCTGGCACAGCTGGCACACCCCGGGCTCCTGCTGCCCTGAGCCCACTCTGCCACACTGCAGGGAGAGGAACAGTTTCCTCAGTGCCACTGGAAGAGGCAACTCCCCCATGGGTGCTCTCCCAAGGGCTGCCTCTGGAGCCCAGCTGGGAGTTGGTGGCATTTCACCACCTTGGTCTAGCCATCCTCAGCTACTGAAAGCTTCCAACATTTTCCTCATGTCCATTTTTCCCCTCTGGTGCCCCTGTGGGGGCTCAGCCTCTTTATCCAATCCTGGCTCTCTTTAGTCCTTTCTTTGTGTGGTAGCCTCTCCTACTCCAACAGCACCTGGATGGACACTGATGACCCCTTGGCTTTCCCTGCACCTGGAAGCTCCATCTCTGCATTGTTTCTCCCTTTCCTTTATTCCAAGATTTTATTTCTGGCAGGTTGCTCCTGCTTTAAACAGCCAGAGGGCTCTGCTTGGCTGTAAACACATCCTAGGGACAGCAAGCAGATGTCCCTCCTTGTCTCCGCTCCCCCAACACCCCTGTCCCCTCTTCCTCTCTGTGTTTCTTCCCAAACTATCCAGGATTTTTACTATCTATCATCAAATCCCTGTTTGTCACCTGGTGTGAGCTTATCATCTTCATTATTTTATCAATGTAACAAAAAAAAAACCCCAAACCCAACAGCGTCACAACCTCCGGCTCTGACTGTGATATCTCCAGAAAGTACAGCCCCTCCCCGGAAAACCTGCTTTTCCCAGAAACACGCCTGGCATCCCAGCCCTAACTCCACATGTGGAAACAACGTTTGCAATAATAATCAAACCTCTAGTAAACATCATTAGAACCAACTTGCCAACGAGCAGAAATAATTACCAGGTAATTACTCTATGGACAGCCAAGCAGGAAATGCAGAACAGAGTTTTCTCGGCATTAAACAGGGAAACACAGGTAGGGAAAAGAAGCACCAAAGGGCAAAAGTCGCTGCTTAAGCTGCAAAACGAGGAGAGAAACGCTCGTTTCAGCCCCACCAGCCTGCTGCTTGTCTGGCCTCGTGCAGGGGACTGAACCTCAGCTCCGGGAGGTTCGGCATTCCAAGGCTGGGATCTGCAGGCACAGCCGGCTGTGTTGTCTTGTTGCTCTGCCCCTGCTCCTGGTGTCCTGCCCACAGCAGGACACGGCACCTGCTGCTCCCCTGGTCCCTGCGCTGGGACTCAGACATCCACACCAGGCTGCTCTGGAGCACTTTGGGAGAGCTTTAGAGCACCATTCCCAGAAGGCTCCAGCACAGGAGCACCCCAGGTGCTGATGATCTACCCACCCAACCCAGCTGTTGGTACTTTAACAACTTCGCCTGCAGCCCCTCGTATTGCTAAAAGCAAGAGAGGAATTTTTCCCTTTCCCCACCGGACTTCTTCCACTCTCTCTGCACATCCCCGTCCTCGCTCGGCCGTGCCGGCAGGTTCCGCGGGTGGGCAGCGTCCTCTTGGGGGGAAAACCAGTCACAATAAAACTGGTGGCAGTTTTGGGCGCCGCGGGGAGCGGATTATGCAAATGAGGACATCCGCTTTAATGGCATTCCAAGATTTTTAGTCAAATTTAAT